CGATTTTACTGACACATGATTTTCCGACGTCTATCAGCCAATTAAAATTCAAGATCAGGTGAATGTAAAAAAATTCAAAACAAACGTTTCCTTTGCAAAATAAAATATCTTTGGAGCTTTAGCAAAAAAATTCATCGTGCAATTTTACCATATAGCTACACTTTCTAATCCTCTTAAACCAAAACCCAAATATAAACAATGCCTTTTTTTTTAGGGTTGACAATATTTGCTTTCCGACCATCACATGACAGTAATAACGATCCTAAGCCCTGTCAAAATTGGGGAGGATCTGTCCGGTCCAGTCCTAATAAGACCGGTCTATTAATGGTTTTCAGTCAAGTCTCGGTCACATACCTCTAACAATTTCATTAGCTAACGAAGAGTATCAAATAATATGACGTCGGTAATTTAAAATAAGCGGCCATATAGGATACTTTTTTAATAATTATAACTTAAACTTGCACATGTGGACTTTGTCGCCAGGTTTGATGTTTTTAGTGAGTGATGAAAAATTCAAACGTTTATTATCTGTACAGAAGTTATTAGATCTAAAATCGATAAAACATCCTTTTTGAATTGAAAATAAGAAATCTTTTGTCGATTTAAATAGGTAGTTGCCGAGATATTCTTGATCAAAGTTTAAAATTTGTGCAAATATATCTCAATAACTATTTACCTAAATTGATTAAATTTTATTTTTGATCTATTATTTATATACTATAATTCAAATAACGATTTTAAATGGGTAGTTATTGAGATATTCTCACCCAAATTTTGAAAAAATTATTTTGTATTCAATTTAGCAAATGTTATTGTCAATCACATGATTCCGGAAATTTCAGCCATCTGTTACACGATGCGTCTAGTGTTAAAAATAAATTATATAACACTAACGCTTAATGCTTTTCATGATAAATTTTTTCTGTTTTAAAAATGTCTAATAATCTAACCACAGAACATCTTGAAAAAATCGACAGCTCATCAAATGAAATTTTTCAAATAACTGAATTTGTTTAGCGAAATCGTTAAAGAAACAATGAAGAATGTTTAAAATGTTTCGATGTGAATTTGGCCTTAATTCATTGGATCAAATTTTAATAAATACGAAACAAAATCCTGATAATATTATTAAGTGGTGTTTGGATAACCAAGTTAATCCTATGGCTCAAATCGTTCTTGCAAGATGTTATCGTTATGGTAAATGGGTTAAAAAAATGAACATAAAGCATTTTTCATTATCAAAAGTCTGCCGATATGGAATTTAGTGAAGGGATATTTGGTGTAGGTGTTTGTTATGAAAGAGGGATTGGTGTTAAAAAGGATGAAAATAAGGCATTCATTCATTATAAAAAAGCTGCCGATATTGGTCATTTTATTGGAATATTTAATGTTGGTTGTTGTTATGAACGAGGAATTGGTATAGAAATGGATAAAGATAAAGCATTTATTTATTATCAGAAATCTGCTGAAATGGGTTTTGTTGGTGGAATAAATAACGTTGGATATTGTTATCTTCAGGGAATTGGAGTTGAAAAAGATGGAAATAAAGCATTCATTTATTGCCAGAAATCTGCTGAGATGGGACATGCCGCAGGATTAAATAATGTTGGATATTGTTATGGAAATGGAATTGGAGTAAATATAAAGCATTTATTTATTATCAGCAAGCTGCTAATATGGGTGAGACTACTGCAATAAAAAATGTCGGTTATTACTACCTTCATGGAGTCGGTGTTGAACAAAATGAATATAAGGCTTTTATATATTATAAAAAATTAGCTGAAATGTGAAAACTGGCTTGATTTGTAATTTTATAACATAATTGGTTAATTTTGATCTTATTTATTTTTCTTATCAAAATTGTAGTTTTTTAATAAAATAATAAATAGGAAAATTTTTTTCGAATCAAGAGGCATTGCCTGTTGCTTTAAATAAATTCATAATTCAAAGGAGTATTAGAAGAATTTTAGAGATTAATTTAATAAAATTGTTATTTTTATAAAGTTAAAACGTTTGCGATATTTAAAGAAAAATTCATCAGTTTTAAATGACTAGATAATAAAATTATATTCCAGTATAAGAATATTCAGAGATGGACAATTTTATGCATTGTATCACTTTTGATCTTAAAACAATTATTTAAAAAAGCTTATTCATCGAGATTTGCATAATGGCAACATCCTACAAGATGACAAAAACCCAATATATTGCAAATTTAGGATCGTCTACATCATGCTTTGCTTTATAACTAGAAAAAATTAAAGCATAATGTCTATGTTGCATCGAAAATTTTATCGGGAAAAGATTTCACACAAGCAACTGATATTTACGGTTTGGAGTCATTTTTACGAAATCAGCTCGACAAAGACCTTTCGATGGTAAGCTATTTGACAGTCTTGCAGTAATATCGTTAATGGATTATGACTTGATATTTTTAATGGGACTTCTGAATTCTAAGTTAGCAAGACAATGTATGGATTTTGACCAAAGAAACTACTTACTGATGAAATTAATTCTGAAATTAAAAAATTGGCTTGATATTATTAAATCAGAATGAAATTAAATCAAAATACAAGCTTTAAATGTTGAGAAAATAAGTAAACCAAAATTGAAACCGGAATAGCGTGCATGTTGATAAAATAAGTAACCCAAAAAATATTGACACCAGAATCGCATGTAAGTTAATAAAATTTTCAACATGCAAGAATGACTATCATCAACAGAAATAAAACAGATTGGCATTTTTGAAATATCTTGATAATTTAATATTCATAAGGAAGCTTATACATTTAGTTTCTTTTAACTAATAAAATAAAATTAGAAATTGCACATAAAGGTACCTTAGTTTCCTAGTTAAAATTTCCATAATATAGTAAGGGTTTGTTATATAGTGCACCACCTGCATCTCAAAATTTTATTAAGATAACCCCTGTTGTATAACTAATAAAAATATTTGTTACACAGTTTTAACCCAACTAAAACCCTAACTCTAATCCTGATCCTAGCATTAATAATAGCATATTTACATTTACTAGGTAACTAATAAAATATTCGTGGCACAATTTTACTCCTAGAATAATTCTATTTTTAACTCTAATTCTAATCTTAATATTAATTTTAAGTTTATATATTTATACAATAGAGGGTGCACTGTATAGATTTTTCCATATAGTAATGATATTGGAAAACAAATAATTTAAATTAAGGATATATATCATTCTCTAAATAAAGTTGTCAATTTTAGTTTCCAGTAAAAATAAAAATTTTATTGTACATTGATTTACATGAGTAATAATCATCTAGGCATATATTTTTATAGCTTAATATTAATAATCTGAATAAGACGTCATGATATATTTATCATTCAAACAAGTTCATAAAGTCATCTCATTTTTTTCTTTAACATTATTTCGAGATTTGTATTCATCTCATTTTTTGCTAATTCGTTATCTACTTTAAATGTCATTAATGCCAGTTTTTCGTTTAGCACCATTTCTTGTTCAAAAGCATATAAATTTTTGATTGGTATTTTGAAGAAGTAAACTGTTTTGACAGTACAGTAACACTCAGATTAGCATTCTATAGTGAATAAAATTTATATGGTTATTTCTATTAGAACATCATTACTCTACCCCACTAACAATAAGTAAGTAAATTCGACCTACAGATTTTAAAATTATTGATTGGCTAACTCCTTTTATTTTATTTTATTTTTTGACAAATGCACACAAAACTTGTTTATAATTTAAACATTTTACTCAGCATATTTTAATAATACCCAAGTAAATTTTCTACGGATACAATCAAATATATTAATTTAGAACATTACGTACATAATTAAGCGAATGTTGTTTATCATAAACACCAGGTAACATCTGTGCTGATAAGTTTTGTGATAGAATATTTTACAGTAGCTCACTAATATGAATAAAAAAAAAACAAAACCAAAATCGTTAGTAGTATTTAACGTCAAGGGGAATAGATATTTCCCAGATAAAGAATTTATGTTTTTTCTGCTAACCCGACTTTGTCGTTTTTTTTTGTCTCAACCTAGCAAATGATTCAGCGTTCTGCTTAGAAACTATGATTTGACTAGAGATGAGTTTCATGCGTGCGCATTTTATCCCATCTAAATTTTATATAGGAAAATTAAAGTACATTTAATTTAGGTCAAGGTCTATAATGCCAGACAAAATTAAGAAATGGGAATGCAGAGGTTTTGAAAATTCCGAAAAGAAAATGAATGAACATAAATATGAGAAGGATCGGGGAAAATTTTTTGGCAAATATCCAATATTTTCCGGAGGGAAAATATAAATCAAAAAAATTATATCATGCGATATCATCTGCATTTTATATAACATGCGCATGTTATTATAAAATGCGCATTTTTCCCATCTCTAGATTTGACAACCTGTCGGGACGACATATAATTTAGGTTTATGAAGTGGGTGGCTTGTTTGATCGATAGACACTGAGGAATTTCCTCGCATTTGAGTACGCAGCAGTAACTTAGCTTTTGGTCTATATTGTAATTGACAGGCTTTTTACAGACAAATTCTGTTTTTTTCACCTACCTGTTAAGTAGCTGTCGTAATAACACTCATGGGCAGTAGCAACGTGCATAGGTTGTCCAATCAATACTCTTAAATTCTGACTATTAGTAGGTGTACCATGAAAGCAATGAAAGACAAAATGTGTTTTCTAATAGTTTAGTTTAAACTCTATTGCTAATTTAGTTATTATAATAGCACTGATGTGTACGGGATTTTGAAAAAAAACATTTTTGCTCAAAATAAGGCGCATGCGCGCTTCAAAATAACGTACAGGGATCCAAAATAAAACACAGAAGGATATTATTATACGCGAATACGATATGGCACATTGAGAAGAATCGATATAAATCATAAAGTATAAATGTAATCATAAAATACAGAAATTTTATAAAATGTGTGATTTTTTTTTTTAATAAACAGATCAGGTTAAGGCGTTAGAAAAATTCAACCAACTACCCTTGTTGCCGTCATTTCATCAGTTTGGAGCTGGGACTGGAATTTATTTCCTTCCTTGTATTGATTGATAAACCTCCTCAAATAAAGAAATATAAGACTAAACACTAACAAAAAAATGACAATAATTGATGATAAAATACTAATGGCGACTATTAAAGATTTACTATTATCACTAGTTGAGTGCGGTGTTGAATCATTCGGTACAGAATTCTTACTATTATTGTTTGACACAGAATTTTCATTATTTATATCAAAACCATTGACTTTTGGCAAGGAAAGATCATCGCTTACAATGTTAGAAATTTTTATATCATTAAAAGTTGTTTCCCATTTTTGACTTGACATATTGTAGGATATCCAAGTGTCAAGAAGAGGTTGTCTGCAATAATCAGCTGTACCACCATAAATCTTTTTGATCCACAAAAAAAAAATAAAAAAAATAAAAAGAATAAGCCTAAGTAGCATAAAAAGTATACATTAGAAATATTATATTTCATCTTACAAATATGGAGTCAGACCAGGAAAATTGAGCTCCATGTCCATTATTCCGAGCTGTTGTAAAGTTTTGAATAAGTGGTGTGGTGCCGAAATAACATCACCAAATTGGAAAGTTTTCAAGTCGAAATTTACTGCTTCCATAACAGTTCCGCCATTGCCCATCATAATGATACTGAGCTTATTATTCAAAATGCCTATCACACCAAAATGAAATGGGACTGGCAATTGAAATTGGGGAATCATAAATCCATATTTTGATGAATAAATATATGTAGTTTGATTGATAGAAAAATCTTTCTCATGAAAACCACCAAATACGAATGCGTTCCCTTTGACCGTCACGACACCGGCACATTTAGTTGGAACAATATTACTCTTTTAGATCATGAAGTAACCTTAATTTTAAAAAAAAAAACTTCAAAAAACCTCAAATAATTCGATAATTAAAATATTACTTAATTACCTTATTATCTGATAAAATCGTCCACTGCCATGGATTAACATTTATATCTAATAAATATGCACCTTGTGTAGTCATATTCGCACCCCACATAAATATAAGACCTGGTTGCAACCATGCTACTCTTGGTCCCCAAAAGTCAGTTGTAAGATCGCTTGGTATAAAATTTTGCGTATAAAGAGGGTCATTCCATCTCTGGGTGTTAAAATCGTAAACTTGTAAACCAGGAAAAGTATTGTTAAGATAATCCCGGCCACCAATCACGAAGAAAAGACCACGAGTTTCGTCAACGATACAACCAGGGTCTGTAACACTTTTAACATTTTGAGTCGAGAGTGGCTGCCATGAGATTTTGCCTTGTGAAAATGGTGGTGTTGCATAGTGGAAAAAATTGGTCAATGCGAAGATATTACATCCTATTGTTCCTCCGAAAATGTAAAAAGAATTCTTATAAGTTACCAAACAGTGTGAAATGAGTGGCCCAATATCTTCTGAGGCTGACATAATTATCAACCTCATAAAAAGGAGAATAAACGTTTTGAATATAAATTTCATGCTTTGTAAAATAGGAAATTTCGTTAAAAAAATTTAGAGCATAAATATTAGAGTACTCACATTTTGTCGGAAATTTAACGTTTAGTAAAGTGTTACAAAAGTAAGGCTGAACAATTTAGAATAGATTATCCAAAAAAAATAATAATGATAATATCAGTTAAAAAATAAATATGATTATTTGTATAACTGTCAGCATTATTGTACTAGGTTAATGCGTAGTGACACCTGGAAATCGACGAGTCGGTCGCTCAACAATCAGGGACGTTGTGTAACCTACCCTATAATAAAAGTGGTCCGAGATCGCACTGAAAAACGGAGTGTAGGCACGTGGTCTAGTGGCACGGGCTATGGGCCGAGTCTACATGTGCATGGTTCGAGTTGGCACGGAATCTGTGAACCGTGTTGATCCGTATACCCGTGCCAATTTAACGTGAAATCGCGTAAATCATACGTGCCTTTAGCAGAAATTTACTAAGCCAATTGACACGGAGCTGATGGTACGTGAATGGAACGGGTAAGTAAACATAGATTTACAGTCCACTTTCCAATAGACATTTTATTGGAAGAGGACTGGTAATAGTTGGAGTATATATATATGGAAACTAAAGTAACTGCAAATGTGTAAAATCTTGCAAGGAATCCTTTTCCTTAAGATATCCAGAGTAGGTTTACTTGTGAGTTCTTGAGGTATTACAATTTTTTAAAAACAAATCATTTGTGATCCTTCGCTCTTATTGTACTCCATGAGGCCACGCAAAGTTAATTTTTCGTTTTGCATTGCATGGATTTCAAAATAAACGGTCGGTCGGTCGGATTTTTTTATTTTTTTTTTTTACAGCTATTATCATAATTCCTGAAACACCTGATAAAAATTAGCCAAATGAATGTTTGGCCGATTCGGTTAAGTTAGTGATTTCGGCATGATCCATTATATAATAAAATAATAATAGCTGTTATGACCAATTATAACAATAATGTCAATGTTATTGAATTTTCGTTCCAACGCTTGTCCAACATGCTTGGTGTTTATTTTGCACGAAAATTTACGGAAAAGACTGCTCGTGTCAATCAATAAACCTTAGTAAGAAATCTAAAAAAAGGGACCGGATATAAATTAGACGAACAGGTGCCGCTATTAAAAAAGGTTATATGATCATGAATTTGTCGACTGGTTTAAAAATGAATCTCAGGTTAAGATTCCAAGCGACCAATATATTATTAATATTTGTCGAGAATGCATGAAGAATTATCAAAGTAAAAAATTTTATATGTTTATATATTTATATATTGAAAAATTTTAGTACTAACAATTAAAATTTTAGAAGACCTGCTGACACCTAAGCGCTTAGCAATTTGTCGAACTGATAAGCCTCTAAATTTTTTTCAACGATTTGCCAGCGAAGGTGCTTTGTAAATATCATTTTTAGAGATCCCAAATTTTTTAAAAATAAATTTTTTGTCTTCGACAAGAAACGAAAAATAATTAAAAATAGATAAATGCCTTCGTTTGAACGAAAATGGATCTTTCCAAAGAATAGGAATCGAAATTTAATTTAATTTTTTAAAACCAAATTTTCATTGAAAATATTTAAAAATGAATAAAGGCTTCGTTTAAATGAAAATAGATCTTGCCAAAGAATAGGAATTGAAAATTTGCACAATTTTTTAAAAATAAATTTTCGTTAAAAATAATTAGAAATGAATATTCGACAATTTTTGCCCAATATTGTATACTTAAGGTATAGTTGTTAACATGTAAGTTACATGTATTTTACCAATGTAAGTTACATTGTAATTTACGTGAATTACTTGTAAGTTTGATTAACATATATGTTTACGTTATATATAAAATTTTTAGCCATTACAGTTGATATTAATGCCAGTAAAAATCATCATGTCATTCGGCTAGCTTTAAAGCCGTTTTGTATAGGCTAGGTAAGTCACAATATGTGGTTGAAGTTTGTGGTGGAATTATTATGGTTAGTAATACAAAACAGCTCTGCAGAACCATAAGCCAATCAGCTTAGCTGAGTTATTTAACGGGTTTACATAATACAAGCTGAGCCATTAGTTAGCTAGTCAAGCCGGTTTAGAGCCATAAGCCAATTATATGACTTTAATATGTTGTAATCACTAACTGTTATGACATAACTAATATAATAAACTTTCGTATTGATAATAAACTTTCATATTAATAATAAGCTTTTGTATTTACGGTATAATTGTAAACTATTTGTTATAATATATATATATATTCTTTTTGATACTTACAATAATCGCCCAAATGGATCCTAACGACCTTTCTAATATCAATTTCCAAAATTTACAAGATATATTGCAAGAAACTTCTAATAATAATATAACAATAATTTTTTTATATATGTTTTATACTATCGCTATTTGCACATTTGCAAATTATTAATTACTGATATGTACTAATGCTGAATTTATTGAAAATAAATTTTTATATACGATATAACAAGTTTTTTTTTTATGTTTCTATACTATCGCTGCTTTGTATATTTGCAATTGAAATATCTGTATATGTATTAACCCTGAATTTAATTGAAAATAAATTTTCTATAATGATATAACAATACAATTTAGAGCTGTCAGCTCTTGAACGGCTAACTAAAAAATGGCTCAACTAAAAAATGGCTTAACTAAAATATAACTCAGCTCTGTTATAGCCAGCTGTTAACTGAGTGGAGCCAGTAATTTGTATCACTAATTATGGTTTGTATCGTGACTTACTATAAAAAATTTTATAGCAAACAAGCAATTCTTTATCTTGGAAAACGACTAGACGTATTAAAGTCATCCTTGGGAATCTGTTATTTTATAGCACAAAAATTACTCTCAATACCAAATGGTTAATAAAATTAATTAGTAAGTTCTTATATTTTTTGACTTAATGCCTTTCCATTTACTAACATCCATTCACAGTCATATAATAGTCCTTGACTAGTTACTGGCCAGGACGATGAAGGTGGTATAGTAAACCTGTAACATGATTTAACTGGATCTATATTAAAAGCAAACATCAATTATTTGATAAAGTTAAATATATATATATTTATTTTAGAGGGAAAAAACATACAAAGTTACTCTTTCCACAACCAAATTTGATTGATTTGAATAAGTTATATTGGTGTCAATACCAACTTTTTGTGGC